CCCCTGTGGCTCCGCACTAAGCCCGTTTGCTTGGAGTAAGATTCAGAATGTGCCCCTCGAAGCCATGGACCCAGCATGCGTCTTTGCTAAGGACGGAACTACTATTGAGCCGGAAATGGATTCGGTTTGTGATAACATTTCCAAACTTGATTCGGCAATTGTGGCCAAACTTATGGGCAGACGAATTTCATTTACTTTCCTCCTTGGGGAACTCATGAGAAGGTGGTGTCACTTTGGAGACTTCGAGATTGTTACGATCTCCCCAAATACTTTTATTTGCATCTTTCAAAGCCTTGAGGCGAGGGATGCCGTGTTATCAAGTGGACCTTGGATCATTGCCGGCAACATTATCGGAATGGACAAGTGGACCTCGAATTGCTCCCCCAACTCGCTCCATGGGCTTCGCTCCCCCATTTGGATTAGGCTACCTCAACTCCCTCTCATTTATTGGGATGTTAAGAACATAACCCGTATTGCCAATGCTCTCGGTGAGCCACTTTGGATGGACTCGCATACTAGTATTTGGGGTAGGTCCTCCTTTGCTCGTATTTGTGTTCGGTTTGACATTTCTAAGAAATTAGTGCCGGGAGTTTGGATTAATGGGATCCATGGCAGATTCTTTCAACGTGTTGAGTATGAGGGGCTCACTAACTTGTGTTTCGTTTGTGGCTCCATTGGGCACGCCAATGGGAGCTGCCAGCCCGATTTGCCGGCTAAGGGAGACGCCTCTAATCCTGTCCAATCTCCACAGCCTACCAAGCCTAATGTGGCCGGGTTACCCGAGAAGTAGCCCTCCCCTAAGATGCAACCCGAGCCCAGCCACTCAGGGGAGGCAACCATGGACGGTCCCCATGACCGTGAGCAGCAGAATGAAGACCTCTTAGGGGATTGGAATTTAGTCACCCGGAAGAAGAAGGGCAAACCGAAGGGGCCTGTTGTGCCTCCTAACAATGGATTGAACATGAAGACAAAGCCTCGCCGCCCCCCTCAACCCGAGAATGTTACTAGACAGCACTTGGAAGATATATCCAACAGAATAGTCAACTCGGACAGCCGCTCTCCCATGGACCAACAGATTGTTTTCAATGCTGCACGGCCGACTCAGGACACCTCCCCCAAGATGGTGGATCTATCTAAACGACAACATAAGGCTTCCAAAGCTTTTATGGAAAAGCAACTTCTACAGCTTGGGCCCATTGCTACATTGCCGCGGAAGAGGAGGAAGAACCTACAAGATGACACAGGCGGGGACTTTGTCCCCTTTGAGGAACAATGATGCCTTACCCTTATCCATGCCTTAGGGTGAAGGTGGTGCCTATCCGATTGCCGGCACAATGGGATATCTTTCCGCCTTCGGGCGTGTTGACCCCTTTCTCAGGTATCTCCCCCCGCTGGAGTTGTTCTTTAGGAATTACTGGATCTCAGAGGGCATGCTTTAGGGGTAGGCCTTATTGTGAATCAAAGGGGCTTGTCCTTGTTTTTTTCCTTGCTTTTATTTTCAAATGTCATACTTGTATGGAGTTTTGCTTTCATAGTATAGCCCTTATCACCTTTTGCTTTTTTGTTTTGGGAAGGCATAGGATCCATACTTTTGTACTTGCTCTTTAATTAATGCAAAATGCAACTTTCAAGGAACCCAAAATCTTTGGGGGGAGGCTCTTCATTTGTTCCAAACTCTTTCTCTCACTAGAGTGTTTTAGAGAGAGAAGCTTTGGTATGGCTAGAGGGGGTGGCCTTAGGTCACCTCCTCCAAATGGGGGGTTTGGTGGAAGAGGCAGCGGCAAGAAGGAGGGAAGAGTTGGGAATCGGTGGCAAGTGCTCGCCGACGAGGAGGCCGGCGGTGGAGAGCCGACGGCTACAGCCCCTAAGGGCGGGATTCCGTCCAGGTCACATGTCACGGGCCGGCCTTTGGCCGAACCTAGCAAGGGGGTTACTCCCCTTGGTGCTCGGGAGGAGAAGGGCAAGAAGACCCCAAGCAGCTCTCGGCCGAGGAAGGAGAACGTCCATGGGGCCGGTAAGTCGGCTGGGCTTAAGAGCTCGGGAGATTCCCCCATGGTTGAAGTGGCGGCTACCAAGTTTACCCCCCATAAGGGAAAGTTTGAGCTGGGGATCACATCCCCCCTCTCCAAAACTAGTGCTGTTAGAGAGCTGAGCATGAGCTCTATCGGGATGGCTAGTCCGGCAGCTAGCTTTGGAGGCCATGCCTCACGGGTGGAAGATGACCCCTTGCCGGAGGAGGAAGATGGCATCCGCAGTTCGGGAGGAGGCTCCCTCTATGGAAGCAGCGACGGTATGGAAAATGAACAAGGGCAGGGGACTGAGTGCGAGGAGTTAGCTGCCAGCGACATGGAAGATGACAGGGTGAACAACCATCGTGGTAGTGCAGATTCGGCCATGGGTTCGGATGGTGGGCTTAGTTCGGGCCGTAAGGAGGAAGCAGCCAGTGACATGGAGGCTTCGGGTGATGGTTCCGACCATCAAGCAGAGATGGATGATAGTGTGGCCGTGCAAGCGCAGACCCAACTCGAAGCCTTAGAGTCGGCCGTTTGCCCAGCTGGTCGGGATGGCAGCTCATGTTCTGAGTGTGCCGAACTGCAGGATAACCCAGTCTTTGACCATGCTGCAGGTAAAATCGGAAGTTCGCCGCTGATGGATTGTAGTAATGATGTGAACAATCTTGGTAGTACTAGGTGTGAGCCCCCTCAAGGTACAAACTTCCCCACAACCAGCGCTACAGATTTCTGCACACAAGGTGTTCGGGTTAATGCCCCCAAGGACCTGAACGGCTTGCCAAGCCAAACCGCAGCTGCACGCAATGAGGCCAGCCACTTGGGAAGCACGACCACTAACCCGTTTGCTTGGAACAAGGTTCAATTAGTGCCAATCTCCAAATTGAGTAAGGGATCCTTCTTAGGTAAGGATGGCAAGTCGATGGACCCAGAAATCGAATCAGTCCACAACAATATTGCTAGGCTTGACCGTGCTATCGTGGCCAAGGTTATGGGGCGTCGCATTGCTTTCCCCTACCTCCTAACTGAGTTAAAGAAGAGATGGGCTCAATTTGGTGAGTTCGATATTGTTACAATTGCCCCCAACTCTTTTATTTGTGTGTTTGAAAGCTTGGAGGCTAGAGATGTCGTGCTATCGGGTGGGCCATGGATTATTGGAGGCAACATTATTGGCATGGACAGATTGTCCCCTTCGGCTACTCCCAATTGGCTACATGGGCTACATTCTTCAATATGGATCAGGCTCCCCCAACTGCCCTTAATGTATTGGGACATCAACAACATCACTCGCATTGCCAATATGCTTGGCGATCCTTTGTGGATGGACTCTCACACTAGTTCATGGGGGCGGTCTTCATTTTCCCGAATCTGTGTTAGGATTGACCTATCGCAGCAATTACTGCCGGGAGTATGGATAAATGGAATTCATGGGCGATTCTTCCAAAGGGTCGAGTATGAAGGCTTGACGAACTTTTGCTTCGACTGTGGTTTCATTGGCCACGTTAAGGGAAGCTGCACCTCCTCGCCTCCGAAGCAAGCACCGTCCCCTACTGAAGTTCAAGCTTCCCATCAACATGTAGCCCCACCCGTGAGCCACCATGAGACCGTCCACCCCCCAAGCTCGAGTGCTCCGGTTCGAGACAAGTCCCCCAAACATATGAAGCCGGAAGATAATTCCTATGGTGCTTGGAACTTGGTTACCCGCAAACGAAATGGCAAGAAAAAACAAGTTGCAGTGCAGCAACCGACGGAACCAGTGCAGCAAACCGAGACCGGCCAGCCAGCCCGAGCGGCTAAAGAGCAGCTTAAGCGCATGGAAGACATCTCAGAGCGGATTATCAGCCCAAGCTATCAACATGCAAAGGACCATAACATTGTTTTCAATGCCGAACGTATGACACCCGACCCCTCTTCCTTGGAGGTTAATCTTACCAAGCGCCAACATAAGGCTTCCAAGGCATACATGGAGAAGCAGCTGCTGCAGTTGGGACCTATTACCATCCTCCCCCGCAAGAGGAGGAAGAATCTTCTAGATGACATTGGCGGGGACTTTGTCCCCTTTGAGGAACAATGATGCTCTTCCTTTTTGCTTGTCCTTGGATGCTAAGGGTGCTCAAACTATGTCTGGCGCAATGGGATATCTCTCAGCCTTCAGGCTGTTTTAAACTCTTTATAGGTATCTCCCCTGGCTGGAGTGGTTCTCTGAGCACGATTAGCATTTCTTGGGAAAGCTATTGGGGGGGGCCTCATTGGGACTCAAAGGGGCTTATCCTTGCTTTAGTTGCTTTACTTTTTGGCTATCATACATGTATGGTTTTCTTCATAGCTTTAGACCTTCCCACTTTTGTTTTTTGTCCTGGAAAGGCAGATATTATTTCCATACTTTTCATGTACTTTTTCTTTACTTAATCAATGCAAATGCAACTTTTCAAGGAACCCAAAATCTTTGGGAGGTTCTTCATTTCTTGCCAAGTGTTTCTCTCACTAGAGTGTTTTAGTGTGAGAAGGTCTGGGGTATGGCGGGGGGTCTGGGGTTTGGGGGGGGGGGGGGGATAGGTGGTCTCCTCCCCGCTCCGGCGGGGGTGGTGGTGAAGGATCTGCAGATGGTGGTGGACGGGAGCGACGGCGGTCTGGAGTTGGTTCAGGCGGCAGAAGGAAGGGGAATGAGGTGAACTCGGCGGTTAAGGCAGGTGGGGGAAAGCACTCGGGTAAGGGTGCTGGAAAGCCTTTGGGTGATGGAGGGATTGCTGTCGCACGCGGGGGCAAGGCCGTCGAAGAAGCTGTTGCTGGCTTTGGGTTGGTGCGGCAGGACACGAAAGCCTCCAGGCGGGAGGCGCGGAATGGCAGCGGGGGAACTGCTGGGTTTGAAGGGATGCTGGAACCTGGTCGGGAGGCGCTGGACTACAGAAGCGGGACGTGCAGGAGATGGCGGACTTGATGCAGACGGAGGAGTTTCAATGTTCGACCAATGCTGTCTTTGAATATGCGACGATGGAATTTGAGCTCGCCTTAGAGCGTGTTTCGGCCGCTGCTAGTGCGGAAGCTGCTGCGGCAGCAAGGAAAGCTGCGGTGTACTTGGCGCCAAGTATGCGGGCTGAGGAGGCTGTTGTGGATATGGATTCCGCTGAGGGAATGGCCGGGGATGGCCTGAGTAGCAATCTGCAGCTAGGTGTGAACATCCCTAATCCTGGTGGCTGTGATGGCTCAGCTCCGGAAACACGCCCGCAGGGTGTTTGTGCTAATGCCGCTACTAGGCTGAACGGTGGAATCTTTGGGGGGTCTGCTGCCGCCCGCCCACACACTAATCAGAATAATGTTTGGAAGCGTCCAGAGCATATTCGAGTCACCGAAAGGGTGAAGAGGGGACAATTTTCAGCTGATGGGGTTACTGTTGACCTCCAATTGGAAGTGGTGGAACGAAGCATCAACCTCCTTGAGAATGCCGTTGTGGGCAAAATATTGGGGCGGCGACTGCCTTTCTTTGTGTTGGAAGCGGAGGTTCGGAGACAGTGGGGTCGTTTTGGCGAATTCCAACTTTCAACTATTGGCGTTGATTGCTTTGCATGTACTTTTGCCTCCACTGAAGCCAGAGACACGGTTCTGTGCGGGGGACCATGGTTTTTCAGTGGAAATATTGTTGGGCTTGACCGGTGGACCCCGAAATTCTCCCCGAGCTCATTGGAAGGGCTTTCTTTGCCAGTGTGGATCCGGTTACCGCAATTACCTCAACAATACTGGGATCAGCGAACCCTCATTCGCATTGCTTCCATGATAGGGGAGCCTTTGTGGATTGATGCCCAAATGGGTAATGTTGGATGGAGGGAGTATGCTCAAGTGTGTGTCATGCTGGACCTTGCCAGGAAACTCCAATCGGGAATTTGGATAAATGGTTGGAGAGGTCGGTTTCACCAACGTGTGGAATATGAAGGCCTTGGGCTCTCTTGCTTTGAATGTGGGCGTGTGGGATATAGAAAGGAGCACTGCCCCTCACGAGTGGGGGCCGAAAATACTACCCCGGGTGGTGCTAAAGTTGGGGTCACGTCGGGCAAATCTCCAGCCTCTAGAGGAGGCTTATCCGCTTGCTCTAGCAATTCGAAGCAGGCTATGGGAGATACGCCCACTGTCGGGGTGGTCACACTGTGCCCCAATTCCAACTTGTCCACCACGGGTAAGTTCACGGGGGCGGCAAGCCTTGGAGACGCTGGACAATCGTCATCACGAGCCCCGGACCTTGGTTCGTGCTCTCCGGAGGTACCCATTGCTACGGAGGATGACAGCTTCTATGGCCCGTGGAACGTTGTCCCACCAAGAAAGGGAAGGAGACCGGCGAAGAAAAACCAAGCGGATGAGAAACTGCCGCCAGGTGAAAATATTCCCAGGCAGGTTGATTTGGCAAAAATCAAGGAACCAAAAGTGAGACGGATGAAGGAGAATTTCCTTCCTAGTCGTGGGGAAAAGAAACTGGGGCTTACGGAGCCTCTCTTATTTTTGGCGGGTGTTAGATAAGTGGAAACCAGACCGGCGAGACCCAAGCTCGGAGCTTCCAAAGCTCATTTTGACAAAGAATTGAAGGCGTTGGGGCCGATAGAGGAGGCCCCAAGGAAGTGCAGGAAAGATAGTAGCTCACCTTTAAGCGGCGGGGACGCTTCCCCTATGGTTAATTAATGCCTACAATTTTATTCTGGAATTACAGGGGGGCTCGTAAGAAATTGATGAGCCACTTTCTGAGGCACCTCATTTCGATAATGAGGTCTTGTTCGTTGGGCTGACCGAAACTAAGGTGGAAACCTTTGACCATGCGGATGTTGATCGCCTTGTAGGGCATGGATGGGATTTCTTTCACCAACCGGCTGTGGGCAAGTCTGGAGGTCTATTGGCTATTTGGAGAAGGGAAGTCCTCAAGTTTGATGTGGCGGCGGCCACGGAACAATGCTTGACGGGGAGGGAAACTTTGCCTAATCTGCAGACTTGGAAGGTGGCCCTGGTTTACGCCAATAAGGATCACCTTATTCGTAGACAGTTGTGGGAGGCCATTACATCCAGCTTGCCGGGGGACGGGCCGCTCATTGTTGGTGGAGACTTCAACTGCTGTCTCTCGCAGGAGGAGAAAAAGGGAGGAAAACGTTTCAGATTTTCTGTCGGGGCTCAGGAAATGCTAGACTTTATGAATAATGCGGACCTCCACGATCTCAGATTTTATGGACCTAAATTCACTTGGTCAAATAATAAGGAAGGTAATAGTCGCATTTGGGTTCGGCTGGACCGTTTCCTTATGAATTCGGAGGGGCTGGGGTTGGCCCCCTTTGCTACCGTTCGGCACCTGAATAGATTGGCGTCGGATCATTGCCCGATGGTTCTGGATTTGGGTGGGACGGGCGTTGCTGCGAGTTTTTGGTGGACGCGATTTGAGGATGTTTGGATGAGTTACCCAGCCTCTTGGGGAGTTGTGGCCAAGGCTTGGAGTAAACTGGACTTTGGGGACCCTGCGAATGTGGTAAACCGTAAATGCAGGCGTACGTTAAAGGCTTTGGTTTTTTGGAGCAAGCACGTATCCGGGACCTTGGGGAGCAGAAAAACTTACTGGAGAGGCGTATTGCGGCTCTCCAACAGTTGGACTGCTCGGATGTGGGGCTTGATTCCGGGCAAGAGGAGGACTTACGTCGTACGGTGGGAGAATTCCATGCGATTTTGAGTAGGATGGCAACGTGGTGGGGCCAACGTGCAAAAGTTATGTGGATTGAGGATGGCGATGCCAATTCACATTTTTTCCATGCCGTGGCCACGGCCAGGAGATGTTCCAACCGGGTTTTGGAACTCCGTAAGGCTGACGTGACTATGCTTGATGATCCGGGCTTGATCCAGAATGAGTTCTGGAGCTTCTTCTCGGACAAGTGGAGGGCTCGTACTACGAACACGATTAGATGGCCGGATTTCCCTGAGGATGCGCAGATTTAGGCTGCGACGGCGGCCTTACTTGAGGATGATGTTACGGAAATGGAGGTTCATCAGGCTGTCTTTGGCATGGGCAATAATCGTGCCCCAGGGATGGACGGTATCACTTCCTCTTTCCTTAAATTTTACTGGCTGGTTGTTAAAGATGACATTTGCAGTGCTATTCAAAGCTTCTTTCGACAAGGCTCGATGTGCCCAAGCTGGAAAGAGACGCTTGTGATCCTTATTCCCAAATTGGATAATGCTTCGACCCCGGCTCAATTCCGTCCAATTAGCCTTTGCCAGTCGCTCTATAAGGTGGTGGCCCGAATTTTGGTGAATCACCTTAAGCCTATCTTGTCGGGCCTGGTTGGGGAGGAGCAGGGTGCCTTTGTACCGGGCCGATCCATTGCTAGCCATGGGCTACTGGCGCAGGAGATGATGTGCAAATTCCAGCATTCGACGATGTTTTCTGGCCTTATGGCTCTTAAGGTCGATATGGAGCAGGCCTATGACTGTATGTCATGGGAGACGCTTGAATGTGCAATGGAGGCGATGGGATTCTCCGTTCGCTTCATTCGGTGGGTCATGGAGTGCATCTGTGGACCCAAGTTTGCTTTTATTCTCAATGGGAATCGGTCGCAGTGGATTAATGCTTGCAGTGGCCTTCGACAAGGTTGCCCGCTGTCGCCGTACATATTCATCTTATGTTCTGAACTGCTGAGCAAGGCCTTTAATCAGGTTGGACATCACCTGGGTGTTCAAATTGTTCCTAATGGGGAAAGGGTGTCCCATCTTCTTTACGCGGACGACATTTTGGTTTTTGCGGAGTCTAGCTTGGCCAATGCAAAACTTATCCACAGGATTCT